AATTTCCTTCGGCGTTAACCCCATCATTTTACTACTTTAACAATTTATATTTTTTTATTTTTCTTGGAGCCCTACATTCTCTTTTTAGGAGTCATACGAACCCCTGTTTACAAGACGTGATTTCGAAATATTTATTACTTACTTGAGCCATGATTTAAAATGGATGTTCATTACTTCTTGCGCCAGCGGATATTTTTATGTTCATATGCTTTATGAAGTAAGTTGCTTATCTAATTTGTTTTGATTTATATATTTCTTCGATTGCCTTGCGCTTGTGATAACATTTAATGTAATGAGTCGTTTTTTTATTCAATTCTTTATTTATACTTGTATTAATTTCACAAGTTTAATGTCATTGGATAGTTGTTCCTAGCTTATGGAATAAAGCACAAAAAATTCTTCTTATGGAACTGTGCTCTTCTCAGTGAGGAAGTACCCGCCCTGGCATTCTGGTGTAAGGGGTTAATTTTTTTACTCGATGTTTCTTTCTTTTGCTTTTCACAATTTCAAAAGCAAAGGTTAAAATTTTTTGAAGCAGCATTCCAACTAATTTTAGCCACTAGCAGCCAGTGTTGGCATGTATATGCTAAGGCAAAAGTTCAAATAATAGAAAATTTTACGACCTACAATAAAGAGAGATAGAATGGGAGAGAAACAAATGTCGCCAAATGTAAAATATCTAAAGACTTCAAAGTTATGGTTTATTTGAAAAATAGTAAAATACCCATTTTTATTTTTTTTACATTNGTTCGCCTGATATGGTCCCCTAAACAATTAATTCTCGATTTTAAAAAATAACACTAGGCCAAAGTTTTCGACAGCTATAACTTTTAAACGAAATATCGTAGGTAGGCGCTTTTATTATCCACGCAGAGCACAGGATCTCTAGAAAATTTTAATAACACTCGCATCGATATGGGACCATTCAATCGGATGTTGTGGGCCATCCCGTGGACTCAGAAAAACGCCAAAAATGAAAATAGGGCAAATTGCGTGAATTTCGTCGACTCTAGCGCAGACCACGAATGTGACAGTTCCTAACTGTTTTTATCAAAAACTTCTTACCCTTTTTGGGCTTCGAACGAGCCATGTTTGGTGTGTATCAGACGTCATGCTGCGGAGCTATGAATTTTCAAACGCGACCATGTTCGTGAGCGAAACATTTTCAAATTTGACTTTTAGAAGCCCGTAGCGGGAGAACGGTAGGACTTTTCGAAAAAATTCTTTCACAGGCGGATGCCCCTGCTCAGTGCGAACATTATAGGACATGTGCAGTCGAAATCTGTGCCGATCAAAAGTTCAAAATTTTCAAAATTTTTAATTTTTTATTTTCTTTCGAAAATAAGTTTTTCCCGTTCGCGACGATGCGGGCCGTCCATTGGTGCAAGAATTTTTACGCTATCTCTAATAGTTCGCCTGATATGGTCCCCTAAACAATTAATTCTCGATTTTAAAAAATAACACTAGGCCAAAGTTTTCGACAGCTATAACTTTTAAACGAAATATCGTAGGTAGGCGCTTTTATTATCCACGCAGAGCACAGGATCTCTAGAAAATTTTAATAACACTCGCATCGATATGGGACCATTCAATCGGATGTTGTGGGCCATCCCGTGGACTCAGAAAAACGCCAAAAATGAAAATAGGGCAAATTGCGTGAATTTCGTCGACTCTAGCGCAGACCACGAATGTGACAGTTCCTAACTGTTTTTATCAAAAACTTCTTACCCTTTTTGGGCTTCGAACGAGCCATGTTTGGTGTGTATCAGACGTCATGCTGCGGAGCTATGAATTTTCAAACGCGACCATGTTCGTGAGCGAAACATTTTCAAATTTGACTTTTAGAAGCCCGTAGCGGGAGAACGGTAGGACTTTTCGAAAAAATTCTTTCACAGGCGGATGCCCCTGCTCAGTGCGAACATTATAGGACATGTGCAGTCGAAATCTGTGCCGATCAAAAGTTCAAAATTTTCAAAATTTTTAATTTTTTATTTTCTTTCGAAAATAAGTTTTTCCCGTTCGCGACGATGCGGGCCGTCCATTGGTGCAAGAATTTTTACGCTATCTCTAATAGTTCGCCTGATATGGTCCCCTAAACAATTAATTCTCGATTTTAAAAAATAACACTAGGCCAAAGTTTTCGACAGCTATAACTTTTAAACGAAATATCGTAGGTAGGCGCTTTTATTATCCACGCAGAGCACAGGATCTCTAGAAAATTTTAATAACACTCGCATCGATATGGGACCATTCAATCGGATGTTGTGGGCCATCCCGTGGACTCAGAAAAACGCCAAAAATGAAAATAGGGCAAATTGCGTGAATTTCGTCGACTCTAGCGCAGACCACGAATGTGACAGTTCCTAACTGTTTTTATCAAAAACTTCTTACCCTTTTTGGGCTTCGAACGAGCCATGTTTGGTGTGTATCAGACGTCATGCTGCGGAGCTATGAATTTTCAAACGCGACCATGTTCGTGAGCGAAACATTTTCAAATTTGACTTTTAGAAGCCCGTAGCGGGAGAACGGTAGGACTTTTCGAAAAAATTCTTTCACAGGCGGATGCCCCTGCTCAGTGCGAACATTATAGGACATGTGCAGTCGAAATCTGTGCCGATCAAAAGTTCAAAATTTTCAAAATTTTTAATTTTTTATTTTCTTTCGAAAATAAGTTTTTCCCGTTCGCGACGATGCGGGCCGTCCATTGGTGCAAGAATTTTTACGCTATCTCTAATAGTTCGCCTGATATGGTCCCCTAA